TAGTCTATCATGAAGCCTCAATAACTTTACTTTGTATGAAATAAAAAAGGAAGAAAGAAAAGTGGTACTGAAATCAAACATCAAAATGGCAAAAGGAAGTCCTTCCTTATTAGTAATTACTGTAAGTATAGATAGATTTACTTCTTCAATCAAAAGGTAGAGCTTGTCAAAATGAATAATACACCATAATTAAATGATCAAACTATATATGCTATTTAGAAGAGACTTGCTTTAGAATCAAAGACACAAAGTGATGAAAGTAAAAGATGAAAAAGAAGTTTTTACATGCAAATATTTACCAAAAGAGAGATGGATGACTATCCTAAAATTAGACTTTAAGTCAAACACTGTTTCAGGACACAAATAAGAAAAAAATACACACACACACACACACACACACACAAAGGGGTCATTTGTCAGGGAAATATAACAATTATACTACCCACCAAACTACAGTTCCTTAAAATATGTAATCAGACACTGACAGAATTGAAGGAGAAATGGACAGTACTAGAATAATCATTGGAAATTTCATTATGCCGCATTTAACAATGGATAGAAAAAAAAGAAGAAGAAGAAGAAGAAACAACTTGAGCAATACTGTAACGCAAGTAGACATGATAGACATAAACACAGCACTCCATCAAACTTAAAGCAGAGTGCAAACCAATGTCAAGTGGACATGAATATTCTCCAGGAGAAAACAAAGTTTAAGTCACAATTTTTAATATATTTAAAAAGGTTGAAATCATACAAAGTATTTTCCTCAATCAAAATGGAATGAAGCTTGAATCAATAACTCAAGGAAAACTGGAAAATTTATAAATTTGTGAAAATTAAGGAACCTATTCTTTTTTTGTACCTGGGATTGAACTCAGGGGCACTCAACCACTGAGCAACATCCTCAGTCCTTTTTTGTATTTTATTTAGAGACAGGGTCTCACCCAAGTTGCTTAGCACCTTGCTATGTTGCTGAGGCTGGCTTTGAACTCAAGATCCTCCTGCCTTACCTGCGTGTGCCATCCCCAGCAGACAACACATTCTTTAAAAATGGATCAAAGAAGGAGTTACAGTGGAAATTACATTTGGTTAGGATGAATGAAAACAAAATTGCAACATACTAAAACTTATGGGATTTAGTGAAAGTAGTGCTCAGAGAGAAACTGATAACATTAAATGTTTACATTAAAAAGAAGAAAGATCTGACCTCAATAACCTAACTTTATACCTCAAGGAACAAGAAAAAGAAGAGCATACCAAATAAAGTTAGTAGGAAAAGGAACTGTTAAAGAATAGAGCAGAGATAAACAAAATAATGAAAAGCAAAAACAATCAACAAAACTAAAAGTTTTGGATTAATTATAACAAATATGCTATACTGGTGTAGATATTAATAATAAGGGATGCTATGAGTTGTGGGAGAAATTATGGTGATATATGGAAACTCTCATGAGTATTAACTTTTCTCTAAATCTAAAGCTTTTTGGAAAAGTAAAAGCTATTAATAAAAAACAAAAACAAAACCCAGCCTTCATTGTCCTAAATTCTTTTTTTTTTTTGGTGGTACTAGGGATCAGACAGGCCCTCATGCATACTATCAAGGGCGTTACCACTGAGTTACATCCCAGCCCCCTAAATAACTTTTTGGTCAAAGAGAAAATAAAACTTCAATTAAAAATATCAAAAAGAGGTTGGGGTGTAGTTGAGTGGTACAAAGCATGCTTAGCCTGTGCAAGGCCTTGGGTTCAAACCTGAGCACCTAAAATGAACAAACAAACAAAAACAAAGCAAACTAACAGTAACCTCCCAAGCCCCTTAAAACCAAAAATGTAAAATGATAATGTAAGAATAACGTATCAAAAGTTATAAGATTTAATTAAAATGGTCCTAAACATTTCCTAGCCTTAAATACAAAGCATTAAAAGTAAATAAAATAAATATTCAACCCACCAACTGAGAAGTGTAAAAAGTAAATTAGTCTGAAAAGGTATTAAAAATATTAATAAAAATTTTAAAAAATGAATTCTTTAAACATCAGCCAACTATAAGAGTGATACACCCAAGAGATTTACTTTGTGACATGTCAAATTGTGGGGCGTGGGGTGGGAGGGGAATCTCCATGAAAGGACAAAATGAGCAATAACAAAGGTATAGTTATGGAGATGATAAAAAAAGTACAAGACAATACCATGTATGCCAATACATTTCAAAAATTTGATAGAAAAATTTCAAAGTAAAAATGAACAATTAAACTGTGTGAAAAGTAGCATAAAACTTGAACAGATCAATAAAAATAGAAGACACTGGAAATTCCCCTCCAAAATGGGGTCAAGGCTAAGCGGTGTTATGGATTTGTCCTTTAAATATTTCAAGAAACAGATAACTTTCATTAAATTTTTAAAAAACATTTTGGCAGTTTTATCATTTTAATTTACGAAATTAGCCTAATATTAACACAGAAACCCATCAATGACAGGTTCCAGAAAGTAAATATATAGATTAACTTAACATGAATATAAATGCAAAAATTCTCAGTGAAATATAAACATTTCTTTTTTAAGTACATGTTTTCTTAATATGATATAAGATTAATCAATTTGACATACATTTTGCATACCATTATTAGTGATAACTGAATTGTGGTCTGCAACTAACACTGTAATAATAAGAAGAAAAGAAAACTGTTGTCACAAAGCAGAGGAACAGCTGTTTTTTTAATGTATCTGGTTGCTCTGCTTGGATAGGGTTCCTTGGCTTATGCCACATTGTTTTCATTCTTTTCTGTTAGCTTTGAGTTGTGAACTGAATTGTGAAGCCAAAATAATAGAGAGGCGTCTAAGCATGTGGATTGAAGAGAAAAAGAGGAAATGTGTAGGTTTGGTTTTGGTTAATTTATTATTTTAATCAAAGCAATAATAAAATACAGCTTGTAGCTATAAATCTACCTTTATTACATAAGCAATCTAATAATATGATTTTGGGTAATATAGAATTTTTAAAAATGCAATTACTGTTTTGTGTCACAGCAGAACACTATTTAGTTTGAAGTAGAAAAAATATACAGTTGTATAATGATTCCAGAAAGACAGCAAATATACTTTAGCATAAAATATCATTTTCTTTTTAAAATACACCCCTAATAAACTAGGATATTCGATAGTTATTTGTTTTGTATGAAAAATGTGTTTATTTCAAACCAACAGCCAACGTCATTCTTAATGTTAACCACGAAGGGAAATTCCCACTGAGATCAGGAACTAGACAAGGTTGACAGCTCTCTTCTCTGTTATTAAGCACCCTTCCAGAAATTCTGGCCAATATGGTGAGGAGAAAAAAGGGGAGGAGATGTATTTATGTATTTCTAATCTATTTTAACATCACACGTGAATGACTTAATTTAGAAAAAATAAGAGAGCAATAACATGGTGGATGAAAGATTAAATTGTGAAATCAAGATGTTAGCAGTAATTAGTTAGGAAATAGAGTGAAACGAATATCCTTTTCAAGATAACACTCCCACTACCCACACAAGAAGACGAAACAAAATATATTGGAATATGTTTTACAATAAACAAGGAACCCTAATGTTTGCTGAGGCCTTAACACATGGAAAGACAGAATATTCACAGACAGGAGGGTCCTCTACTATAAGAATGATCATTTTCCTCAAGTTAGTGGACAAGTTTAATAAAATTCCAACCAGAACTTTGTTTCAGGGGAATTTAACAGATTCACTCTGAATCATCCAGTTTGCCATCTCTTTCATGAGCACAAGTATTTAAGAGAAATAACTGGACATTGCTCTATGGCCCCAATTACTGTTAGGCAGGAATCTCAGACAGGTAGGGATGGGCATACAACTCCATGTCATCCCAGAGGTAGACAGTGTGTCTACCTGTGCACATATGGAAGTGCACCCTGGAGGGGTGAGGAGATGGGGTGGACAAGTGAGAGGAGAGTAAAGGAGACAGCTGCTAGCAATGATGTGACTATTCTGTGACCTGGTAAAGTAACTTTCCTTTTTCTCCATCATCTTATACTTGGGTAAGACGTCCCTTAAATAGTATTTTAATATTATAAGAAGGCAGGGCAGTTGTAATAGAAATTCATTGAAATAGAAGTGATATGAATATATATTTAAGTGCTCTCTGACTGTCACTTAAGAGCTATTATAACTTATGACTATTTTCTTCCAGCAGGCACTCAATAACACAATCTTTAACATTCATTTTTATTATAAAAATAAAAAGGCCAGAATAAGACTAGATTATTGTAATTCTAGAAGTTTGAATATTCTAAAATAGGCATTGTAGGTTGTATATAAGGTTAATACTTTAGTATAGTGAAATATTCATTATCTTGTGATTCTTACAAAATAGAAAAGTGCTAAATGAGTTGATATTTGAATAGATATGTTGGATCAGGCTGGAGTCAATTTTTTAAAATAATAACCCAAAGAAAGTATAAATACATCCAATATTAATTTACTTTTCAAACGAGCAAGCTATATAAAGCCCAACAACTTTCAGTCTTCCATTATGTTTTAAAAAAACCCCTCATTGAAGAAGGCTTTTATTCCAGATGTAAATTTTAAAAACTCATTTCAATTAGAGGCATAATAAATTCCATCTTGAAGTTAGAAAACAAAAAGATGGCAGTATTTTAAGTTTTTCTTTGGTTTTGGCTTTTTAAAGGCTAAATTTCCAACTGTGACAATGAATACAAAGGCATTTTGAGTCATAATCATTTCTCAGCAAGTACAGGAGTGGAATAAATTTGCAATACATAAGAAGACATTCAGGCCACCTTGCAAGGTTGAGAATTGATAGAAACTAATAAAATTTGGTTACCTCTTCTCCAGGTTACAAATCTTCCATCACAGCGTATTTCTCTTTAAAGATGTAGGCAGTTACACATTCTGGAAGCTGTTTGCACAGGATTTACCGGTTCAACTTAAACTGTTCTGAGCTCTCCTGTTGTTGAACTGGGAACTTCCACTGAGAAATCCCCTGACTTGAAGACTTCCTTATTTGTAGCTATCAACAGCCAATCGTGGCAAGATATTGAAATGAAGCAAAACTACCAGAAAATATTCTGTAAGCCACTCGTGACTGTAACTCTGACTTCCTTTTGAAGCAAAGACCCTTTACCTGAATAGTTAAGATATTTTAACAAAAAGCTAGAAATTGTAAACAAAAAAATATTTTTGATAAAGCACATTTTCAGGTAAGAAATTGTAAGTTTATTTGATAATTGCCTTTTTTAGCCTTTAAGAAGTTACTTTTTGAATACTATGTTTATAAGCAAAAAGTAAAGACCAAATTTAAATATAGTTGTTTTTGTTTCATATATTGAATAAGCCTAATAAAATAAGGCTTCTACTGGATTCCACAGCCTGAGCTCAAGTACTCAGAAGAAGAGAGAAGCAAAGAAGGCTCTGCAGGCAGCTTTTCTGCTTTGAGAACTCAGGTTCACTCTTCAGGTAGGAGAGTGCATGTTCTAGCACACTAAATTGCTTTACCAAAGCGTATATTTTCTCAGGCTACTTGGAGCAGAGCAACAGGTTTTATATGCAAATGGAAGGTGACATATGCCCCACAATCATTTTTCTGTTATAAAATTTTAGAACTGGAAATGTCAATAGACACATCTATTCCTTTTCCTTTTCATGACAGATGAGGAAACAAAAGAGGGTAAATGCTCAATGTCACAAAGAAAGTTAGAGGCAACACTCAGATTAAAATTGGAGTCTTTTGAATGGAAATACAATTTTGTTTTTTACTGTATGACATTCTCAGCTCATCAAGTTATTGAACTGGAAAAAGACAAGCAATTGAGTAGTTTCCAGTTCAACTCCTGCCTGGTCCAGATAAGAAGTCTGAGGAGGCCTCATCCACAGTCCCAGTTAGTAAAAGGACTAGAATTTACAACTTCTGATTCTTAGTCTAGTTTCTTTTCTATTTTAAAACACTGTCCTCTCTTTGACAACATGTTAACTAAATCTGAGATATTGTTAATTATGATGGGATTATTTTGGAAGAATGATTTTGAAAGTATCTAAAATGCTGAGTAATGTGATATAAAATGTTTCATTTACTCATCTAATGTTTAATTAAGTATAATATCCTTTAGCACTTCATGCTTTATAGCTATCTTACTGATGAAATACTAAATGTTAAATGTTCTCAGGTATAATAAAAAATAAAACCAGCTATTGCTGTAAATATTGCAAAACAAAACAAAAAAAGTGAGATGGCCACTGATGAGAGGAAAATTTACTTCTCAAGAGTTTACGTTTTTGAACGAGCAAGATTTTAAAAGCACCATTTTTTTTTAAAAAAAAGCAGTATTCCTGTCTTAACTGGGAAATACCCCTTTCTTTGATCTGTTCATCCTGAGCCCCCTCCCTCTGCTATTTGCCTTGGCAATTGGACTTGGCGGATACCCAAGCTCCCATAAGACAGACTAGCTGTTCCTGGGGATGTTGGCCTCAGCCTCCTGAGGCCATGACAAAGAAGCTAAAGTTAGAGATGCTTTTTGAAGGAATTCTGTCAGAGTGCATAAAATATAAAACCTATGTCACTGACCAGTTCCGCCTCTAAGCAAAGGATGTAAGGCAGTTGGAAATGTTTATCTTTGTTATTACTATGGGTTCCCCTTCTGACTCCCTGCTCTCTACTGTACTTTTTATTTCCTCTCAGAGTCACAAACCATGTGGCCAGAGCTGACAGAAATGCAGAAATTCCTAGAGGAGAGGGAGTAGCAATGGTGCCAAGCCAGGAATGGTAAAGTGACCAGGGCAAGATGGGGATAAAGGGTGCCAAGCCCAAGTTGGAGACTGGAAGGCAAAAAGTCAGGTTCCCATTCCGGCAGTGATGAATGGCCAAGGGGGTTGCTAATAAAAGAATGAGGATAGCACCGCTAAGAGGCAAGAAGGTTCTCAGGTGGAAGGCCTCCTAAGAAGAATCCTCCATAGCAGACTGGAGGGGCAAGGAAGCCCTGTCTCTTAATTGCTGACATGGGTGCAATGATGTCTATGCCTCTGGCCATGATGTGAGTTAGTTAGGCTGCTAGGCTATATGGGGTATGTGTTTGAGAAACTTGGTTCAGATGAGCAAAATGCGCACCCACAGGATGCATCCATGATTCACGCATAATATAAGTGGAAGCTGCAAAATTTTCTGGGCTCTATTTGCTGGTAGGCTGCTTTTTATTGGCCCATGACCACAGTAGGGCTGACCCTAAGATGTAAGATCCATTCTAAATTGAGGGTTGGGATCAGCAGAAATGATGGATACTCTTTTTTCTACTACTTCCCAGCCTGTATAAACTGTGCCCTGGGAAGAGTAGCTGATATTACTAATTAGTGATTTAATGCAAATTTATGCCACAGTATTGCTTCCTTAGTGGGGATACTCGCATTTTGTCTCTTAGTTATAGAATTAAAGGTGTCCCCACTTAATGGAAGAAAAGAGGAAGGCACAGTAGGGGAATCTCTATTCCTCAGGTAGCCTAACATAATGATTAGTCTTATATTTGTAGGCAAATGCAGCTGGTATTCTTGTTCTATTATTTGTTTAATAAAACTTCATTACCTATTAAGTGTAGGGTGCAGGAGTTATTAAAATACTTTGCTTTCCTTGAAGAGCTCAAAATCTTAAGGAAAAGATACAGCCAAACAAACAACATTTTACTCTGCTCATTCATGAACAGAGTAAAAGGTGCTGTGTGGGCGTAGAAACAGTTCTCCGGGCTGGAACTGCCCATGCAGAGATACACAGGAACTGAATAAGCAAAAGGATCAAGAATTAAAAATTTATTTTACACCCTTTTCTATATTCTTAATGAATTCATTCTGATTTTTAAAGCCTGAATATATGGCTTTTTTCTTGTTTCCATATCTTTATAAGTAAATTTTTTTTCTAAAAATCTCAATTTGCGTTTTTTTTTTAAAGAAACACATTTCTTCTTTTTTTTTAAAATTGTAGTTGAACACAATATCTTTATTTTATTTATTTATTTTTTTTATGTGGTGCTGAAGATCAAACCCAGGGGCCTCACACATGTGAGGCGAGTGCCCTACCGCTGAGCCACAACTCCAGCCCCTCAACTTGCTTTTAAACATTGCAGATGATTATTTATATTCTTGATAATACACACCATTTTAAGGTTCTCAGCATCTATTCTTAAAAAGTAAATCAAAATCTATGAGATACACAGATAGACTGAACAATTAAGAAGTACCTTAAGTCTTTTACTTTTGAGAATAGAATCACAGTTGAATACTGGATTCCCCAGCACTCTGTCCTCCTCATTATATGACAACTATGTGTTTTTGGTGATCAAAAGGAAAAAGGACACTTTGTGATATACGGTGAAACAAAGGTTGGTGGAATCAAAATCCAAAAATATTTTTATTTATTTATTTTCCAAAAATATTTTGACAAACTCAAATAATTGGCTGATGCAAACATGGAATTTAATGGAGATAATTATAAAGTTGTCTAGTTACTTCTTCTCCCCTCCCTACTACTATCCCACAAACAAACAAAAACCAGAAAATAATTTGAGAGCCCAGAATAGGTTGATGAGATTCAATTTAGTAGCAGTCATATAAAATTAACTTGCATTTTGCTTGAGGCAGTAATATGGGTATGCTAAAAAAAGAAATCTTCAAACCAACAGTACCTTAGAATTCCCTCTAGAATGAGGGAAGCACTACTCTTGTTTTCTGATCCATCTTTTCTGGATACCATTATTTAAAACCATAGACAAAGGGCTGGGGTTGTGGCTCAGTGGTAGAGCACTCGCTTAGAATGTGTGAGGCACTGGGTTGGATTCTCAGCACCACATATAAATAAAATAAAGGTCATTGACAACTAAAAAAACATTAAAAAGAAACCATAGACAAGTCAGTTATTAGTAAATACTCATCCATGTTGTACGTATGTCTCTCCAGGAATAGAGAATATTTAGCTTAGATCAATTGGAATGAAATAACTGTATTCAGATATCAATTGCATTCTTTATAGCTTCAAGGTAAGCCTCAAACCAGCAAGCAGGAACAATAAGGAAGACAAATTTTGATTCATTATAGAATGCACCAAATTCTATCTCATCTAGAAGATGAGATATATCACCTTGGGAAGTAATGAGTTTCCTCTCCCTGAAGTGTAGGACAAATATGATGAATGATCATTGTTTGGGAACTTTGAAAGACAAAGTCTCAGATGAGGTAGCAATGACTAATGCCTGTATAGCACAGGTTCTATTATTTGTTTAGTACAACTTTATTGCCTATTATGTGTAAGGTATAGAAGTTATTAAAATACTTTGCTTTCCTTGAAGAGCTCACAATCTTAAGGAAAAGACACAGCCAAACAACATGTTACTCTGCTCATTGATTAACAGAGTAAACGGTGCTGTGTGGGCAGAGAAACAGTTCTCTCCTGGCACAATTCTAAGTATTTTACATGTATTACTTCATTTAATGTTTATAAGTACCATATTAATGGTAGAGCTCTTTTATGGATATAAAATGCCCTGGCATCTGTCTCCAAGATTCATGTTCTTTTTTTTCTGGTGAGGGTACTTGGGATTGAACTCTGGGACACTCGACCACTGAGCTACATCCCCAGCCATATTTTGTATTTTATTTAGAGATGGGTCTCACTGAGTTGCTTAAAGCCTTGCTTTTGCTGAGGCTGGCTTTGAACTTGCGATCCTCCTGTCTCAGCCTCCAGAGCAACTGGGATTATAGGCGTGGCTACTGTGCCCAGCAAGATTCGTGCTCTTTACAACTTTACTACAGTGCATCTGGGATGTTTACTATTATTATGCATTTGAGTGCAGGGTCTCATTCACTGATAGCATAGAATTTTAGGGGAGTTGATAGGAAGTTCAAATATTTTCTTTACTACTTTGATTACTTCTTATGCACAGTTTTAGATGCTTCCAATCTGACAAGAAATTAATTAACTGAGGATATACCACTATAGAACTGGAGACAGCAAGGGGATGATAAGGGAGAAGGAGTGGGATGCCGAAGAGGTGCTCATTGAAAACTGGAGGAGCAGATTGGACTTGCTGCTTCTGATCAAGTGTCAATTTTGGAAAATATGACAGCCTTGGAGCAGATTTCTTCCTGTTTGTTAAGGAAGACAACAATGCACATTTTGTTTCTGCAGGTTTACTCATACTTCAATCTTTTCCTTTCCAGTCTATTATGTATAGCTCAGTAAGTCTTATAAAAAAAATCCGTGATACTTTCTATAGGATACAAAGTGAACTATCTAAATTTCCATAAAAATTCTCTAAGTTGGGGCTGGGGATGTGGCTCAAGTGGTAGCATGCTCGCCTAGCATGCATGAGGCACTGGTTTCGATTCTTAGCACCACATAAAAATAAAATAAAGATATTATGTCCACCTAAAACTAAAAAATAAATATTTTTAAAAATTCTCTAAGTTGACAGAATTTCATC